GCAACATCTCAGAATGTAAGATAGAGACCTAAATGTTGGGGGAAAAAATTAAGCAGATTAATTACTGGTTGAATGGTAGCTAAGGGGGTTGACTTAATGAACTGATGTCCATTCAGAGGTTGCCTTTATTAACAGACCAACTGGCTCTGGTCTTAGTTAGATTAGAATCCAGATTTCCATCAATGAATTGGAAGGTGACTTGCTAATCTATAGAGATTCAAGGTTCAAAATGGCCACAGTAGGTTGGGAATTGGGACAACAGAGTAAGTTGTTATCAGGATAAATGTGACAGTAGGCTCAAATTTGAAAAATCATTAAATATACAAAATACAGTAGAGCTTTGACTTTGCAGCAATTAATGAGAAAAAAAGACCTGGGGATTTCAGTTAACCTCACCCTCAGCATTAACCATTAACATTCATCAAAAAGGTAATGCAAATTGCATTACTAGAAATATAGTGTCCACAACACAAGAGATTACGGCCTTCACTGAACTTGACATATGACTCTTCAAAGTAACACCAATGTTACTAAACTCTTTCAGTAAACAGAGGAGGTAAGAATAGTTCCCACCTAGTTTTATGAGATCAACAATATTGATACCAAAACCTGACATTACAAAAACAAACTTATAGACCAATTCTCCTCATGAACATCATTGTACAATAAAAAATTTGATTGGCTTTTGTTCCTTACTATTTCCTAAGTGACAGGAGTGGCTATGTTATGCTGGTGAGATGACTCATGGTATTCTAGATAACTTCAGGATGGGGACTAGTCACAAGAATGGTCACCCATATGGTAAGAGGGTTGAGGCTTTGAGCCAAGTGATAGCAGCACAACCTGACCTCTAGGAAGAGGAGGGAGGTCTGGAGACTGTATTCACTCACATGGCCAATGATATAATCAGTTATGCATATAATGAAACCCCAATAAAAACTCTGGACCCTGATGCTCAGTACACTTTTCTATTCAGTGCACACACTGCCATGCCAGGAGTGTGACACATCCTAAGTCAATGAGGCAAGGGCAGGGAAGCTCTGCATTAGGGACCCTCCCAGACCTCACCCTATGTGTATCCTTAGTAACAACTGTACTCATCTATACAGCACTGTTCTGAGCTCTGTGAATTATTCTAACAAATTATTGAACCAGAGGTCATCATGGGAACCTCCAAACTTATAGCCAGTCAGTAAGAAGTGCAGGTGGACTGGGAACCCCCCAAGGCTTGTGGTTGGCATTTGAATTGAGGGTAGTCTTGTGGCAGACTTTGTCTTTAGACTATGAGGTCTGCACTAACTCTGGGCAGTTAGCACCAGAACTGAAGTACAGTACACCCAAGCATCCCAGTTTGGCAATGAAACAGAATAAACATAAATGCAAAAGTCTTTAGCTGAATGTCAGCAAACCGAATCTACCACAGTACATCATGACCAATTTATCCCAGGGACACAACACTGGTTTAACATTTGAAAATCAAATTGATGCAATTTATTGCATTAGGAGAAACATGGAGAAAACCCGTATGATTATCTCAGTAGATGCAGAAAATGAATCTGACAACATCTGACACCCATCACCATAAAAAATAAAAACTCCAGCAAACTTGGAAAAGGTGAAAATAATCTTCAGTGTTTTCAAGGAAGGGCATCTACAAAAAAATCCACAGTTAAACATTATGCTTGGTGATCAAGAACAGAAATATCCACTCTCCCCACTTTTATTCAGCATGGTGCTTGAGTTTTGGAGAGGTGAAATAAGGAAAGGAACAGACATAAAGGAACAAGGATTGGAAAAGTAGAAATAAAACTGTCTCTTTCTGCAAATAGAAACATTATTGTCTATGCAGAAAATCCAAGGACTCTAACCAAAAAAACCCTAAAACCAAAAAAACCTCTTAGAACTAATAAGTGAATTTAGCAAGGTTGTAGGATAAATGATCAATATACACAAAAATCCACTTACTTTCTATATATTAATAGTAAACAACTGGAAAATGAAAGCAAGTATGCTACTTACTAGCATTAAAACATAGAATTTTAAATTTAACTAACAAGTAAGACCTCTATATCAAAACATAAAAATTTGCTGAGAGAAATTAAGGAAGACCTCAATAAATGGAGAGAAAGTGTTCATGGACTGGAAGTCTCAATATTATAAAGATGTCATCTTCCCCTGAATTGATCTATAAATACAATCCAGTTGCAAACAAAATCACAGCAGGCTCTTCCGTAAAAATTGTCAACTGTCAAGCTGAGTCTGAGATTCAACAGAAACAGGCAAAAGACCTGAAGTGAAATTTCATCAGAAAGGATGTATTATTGATCAATAAGCAGAAGATACCAAAATCTTTTCTAAGTCTAAAGTTAGACATCAGAGAAGTGAAGTGCAAATTTAAATTGCAATGACTTAACATTTCACATCCATTAAGCAGTCTAAGATTTTGAAAATTAACTACATCAAATGTTGGCAAGGATGTGGGTGAAGCAACTGGAATTCTCACTGTTTCCAGGAATGTAACTTGGTACATTAAGAGGAACAACCAGCAGCTCCTCTCCCAGCTATTTTCCCAAGACATATGCCCCCCAAAAGACTTGCACACAAATATTCACAGCTGCTTTATTTATAACAGCCAACAGCTAGAAACATCCCAAATGCTCACCAAATAGATAAACAAAATGTGGTACGCTCATACAACCAAGCACTATCAGCAAAAAACAAAACAACAACAAAAATAGCACTATTGATAAAATAACACAGATGAATCTCAAAACATCACATCGAATGAAAGAAATCCCACAAACAAGAATACATACTTTATGTGTCCGTTTATTTAAAGTTCAAGAGCTGGCAAAACTCCTTTATGACAATAGGCATCAAAACAATGCTGCTGATGGGAGGTGGGGATTGGCTGGCTGGAAGCACAAGGGAACTTTCTGAGGTTCTATATCTTGACTGAAGTGGGGCTCACATGGTATCTCCAGTTTTCAAAACTCACTGAGTTGTGCACTTAAGTTCTATGCACACTTAATTGTATATCAGTCTCACCTCGATGGATAAAACCTTTCTTTGTGGGACTTCAAAGCAACTATCCTAGCAAAAGTGGAGCACATTTTTCAAATTGACTTTGAACAAAGAAGTCACTTGATTATCAGCTCCTTGGAGAAACTCAAGGAAAACTCAGATGGAGAAGGGGAAAACCATATAATTTCTCATGGAGTCAGGAGTTAGAAAAATTATGCAGAGACAATCCCCAGGGACTGACATTCGCTTGCTTAGCCATTCTCGCCATAACTATTCAGTGAATACTACTCTGAGTCAGGCCCTGCTTTTGGGGAGACAGAGTCCTTTCCTTATGGAGCATATACTCGCTAAGAAGACAGACAAGGAGACTAACAAATAATGGGCTGTGTCGAATGCAGTGAAGGAAGTCCGCAAGAATGTGTAACTGGGAGTCAACAGAGAGGTGGGGAGGACCAAAGCAGTTTAGAGTGACCAGGGAAGACCTCTTGGAAGAAGTGGAGTTTGAGCTGTATCATGGGACTTAGGACAGATGGAAGAACATTGTGGAAAGTGCAAAGGTCCTAAGGCAGAAAGGAGGGCAAAGTGAGTAAGGAAATGAAAGGCAATTGTGTGACTGGTGCTTACTAACAAGCAGGTTGGAGAGAGCAGGATGGACTTGGGTTGGAGAGCTGGGCGGGGGCCAAAGCATGCCAGGCCTATGCTCTGAGTGACAGGAAGGACTCTGAGTGACAGTCTAAGACAACAGGAAGCTGCTGAAGGGTTTCCAGCAGCAGGTGAAGGGATCTGTCCCTGAGGATGATGGATCACAGTGGGAACCAAGCTGGAAGCTGAAAGACTGCTTAGGAAGCTATGGCTGTGGTGTTGGCAAGAGCAGAGAGGGCAGAAAAGCAGATTTAAGCTCTACTCTGAAAGTAGAACTGATGGAACTTGCTGATGCATTCAACATGAAAAATGAGGAAAGGAAGGATGGGCAAATGGCAGTATCATTTACTAAGATGGGGAATTCTGGGGTGGAACAGGTCTGTGGGGGTCATCAAGAATTTTACTTTAACATGCCTAACACACAGCCAGCAAAAATGCTAAGGAGGTGGGTGGATATGTGAGCCTGAAGCTCAGCAGAGGACTGGGCTGGAGATACAGAGCTCAAGGTCATCATCACACAGAAGGTTGGAACGAGGAGCCCAGAAGAAGTCCCAGGGAGGGTGTCTCAGAGGAACGAGAAGTAGGTCCAGGAATCACCCCCACATTCTTAAGTCCTGTCACAAGCAGAGGAAGGGCAGTAGGGCGGAAAGAAACCCAGGAAGATGGTGTGTCCAGAAGCTCCCCACTGTGTTCTCAGGACCCAAAACAGCCCCTGGCATACAGCACTCCCTCACAAAGCATGTGCTGAATGCGTAAAGGAAGGAAGGATGTGGCGGGGGGGTACCCTTGCCAGACGTTACTTAAAGATGCAACAAGGGTGGCCAAAGAGGAGCCCGCTGGCATTAGCTGCAAGGGAAACAGCCACGGTGTCGGCCCTGAGAGCACAGCTCCAGCAGCGGGATGAGGCGAGGCCGGGCGCTCCCGCTGCATGGAGATCCACATGACACTGACTTGCACGCAGACACAATCCTAGAAGGATTCAATCTGCCCTGGGACCAGCGCATTTTCACTGCTGTGCAGACTCACTGAGGCCTTCTCATGGATGGCTCCTGACGTGCAAGCCTGGCCACAGCTGCCATGGGAGATGCGAGCAGGCCTCCCACTGCCCAGGTTCAGGGATTCTGACCACTTCACCAACTTCCCGGTAGGGCACCACCCACTTTCCAGCCCTGGCATGGGAGCTCTTAGCCCCAGCCACCGGGCCCCCAACCTCAGCTGCACACGTTTCCACCCTCTTCCACTGCCTGCTGTTGCGGACGGTAGAGGTCCCCACACCTCCGATCCCTTCCATCGTCAGACAGAAAACAGTCAATAAATCACACAACTCCACTTACCCGGAACAGTTAGAACGGAGGGGGATTTTTCAGGCTGTTCACTGACGCGGCTGCTGTTCTGAACCCAGAAAATACTGACAGGCTCAGGCGGGCCCTCGGCCTGACAGGTAAGGTTGAAGGCTGTGTTTCTGGTGACATTCATGCTCTCAGGCTGTCTAGTGAAGTGAGGAAGTCCTGCAGACAAAGAATTAAGGGAAAGAATGTTTCAGATCCATAAGCAAAGGCAGAGTCCCAAAGGGAATGGAAACCGTACTAGAACTTGGCAATAGGAGATTCTTTTTATACACCACCTCAGGTTTGAAATGGCCAGTTTTTACTTCTGAAAGTTGCATAAGAAAGAGCAGAGGCTAATTCCTACCTGTCTAGTTTTGACTGACTTTCTAGGACACTTTCCCAAGAAGGGTTGTAAAGGTGATTCAGAACTGGTTTTACCAGAAAGGAGGCCTGGCAGTTCTGAAAGCAGGTGTTGCTCAAACTCCTGAGATAGGTAGGTAGATTTGCAGTATTCCATACCAAAATAAACACAAAGCAAAAACAAAGCCAAGTAATAGGCCTGCCCTTTTACAAGAACAATCTGCTGTGTGTGAGACTTGCAGAGAGATGATAATGAATTTTAAAATGTGTACATTTGTATAGGGCTGAACACTTTTCAAAGTGTGTTTACATGAAAACAGTGCAGACACAGTTACAACTCTAAGATCTCCAGCTGTAATTCCAGAATCAAGGCCGTAAGGGGGACTTTAGGAATATCTCAGAGGAAACCAGCTGGTACTCACTGAAGCATGTGCCAAAAATTTAACAAACAGGTCAAGCTAACTGTTCTCAGGCATTTAAATTGTGCTCTTTGAGGACTGGGAACTCACAGATCTGGTCCCAGAAGGAATTACAGGGCAATGGTAAAATGGGATTCTGGCTTTCCTGTTTCAAATGTAAAATTCCATTGGGACCTAACATGTTTTTGCCTTGGGCGTTTTTCTGAGATTCGGACAAGTAAAATGTCCTCTAACTACTTTCCCCATATTAACAGCAGATCCACCCCCACCCTGCCTCCAGGCTGATGCTGCCATATACCCTGAGGCTCTGGCTGTCCAGCCTGGAATGGGCCTGAAGCAAAGCTCTAAAACAGACTCCTCTGTGGGGCCTCCCTCCCACAGGCCTCCAGCAGCAGCAATGCTGAGATTTGCAGAAGAATATGGGTGATAAAGGAGCCTTTCAGTGAGTGACACTTGTAGCTAACTTCCTTGAAAATGCTAATGACCGTGCGATGAGGAGCCACAGGAAATGTAGAAAAGGGGGCCATGGAGGCAGTGACCACCTGGGATGCTTCCTCTTAGGAGTCTGACTTCACAGGCCTTGCCATTGCAGAACCCCGGCCTGCCAACCTGACACCCAGGGCATCAAATCCAGGACCTGAGCTCGGCTGGCCTGGCCCACCTGTGCATCCACTCCTGTTCCTACTAGAGTTCAAGTTCTTTGAGGGCAGAGACGCCTTCTCCTTGTCTGATGTCTCACTTCTCACCCCCACTGAACATGTCATGTTACAGAACAGGACTGAATCACACACCTTTGACAAATCGTTGGGCCCAAAAAGGAGGCCCACACTGAGTTGCTGACCAGTCAGGAAAACTGCCCACCCTCCCTGGTTTCCCCACCTGCATTCGCAAGACAAGAAATGATGCTGAGTAAGAGGCAAAGTGCCCCTTGGTCATGTGAGTGCCAGCACTGAGACCTGGGTAGTGGAATGTGGGTAAAATTGTAATATTTCCAGAATATCTTGCCCGGCTTTAGTACATCTGCATATCAACAGGCATTCCTCAGGGGTGGAGAAAGTCCATCTCCATATCAATGGGTAATTACCTGGACCTGAGAGGTTAGGGAGATGCTGGCTGGCTTCTGCCAGAGCAGTTAAGAGAAACGACCCTGGACTGCAGCTTGTAAACAATAAACGGGTTTTAATCTTAATTTCTCCCTTTAACTGATTTTGGCTTTAGAGGTATTTTGTCCCAGGATTTCCTCTCCCCGGAGTTACAGCTTCCTACGGGAAAGAAAAACTCTCAGTATTTTTTTATTGTGTTATAACCTGGGATAAGGAAGTCTATAAACTCTCTTTATGCCAGCCCTAGTGCCTAGGATAGAGCTAAAACTTTGAGACTTCAATTCATTTCACTATTACCTACAGTCTAAAAAGATGATTGCCTTGTAAAATTCTAGTGCTTATGGATTTGCCAGGTTTGCATACAGAGTTGGAAGTGGGATACCAAACTCTGTATTATATGTGAAGCAGTGAACTCAAGCTACTCTGTACCTCTGAACTCACCTTGCACCTCGACGTAGATGGGGTCAGACACAATCTCTTCATTGTTTATTTTCATCTTGCAAATATACGACCCATTGTCTGAACGCTGCACACTGGTTATGCTTCAGAGAAAACACAAAGATATTTACAGTGACTACCCTTTGAGTTCCTCCTATAGGAACAGAACATTCTTTAGCTTCTTTATCATATGCTATGATGGTTAATCTTATGTGTCAAGATGGCTAGGTCATGGTACCTAGATATTTGGTTACATACAACATTAGATGTTTCTGTGAAGGTGTTTTTTTTAGATGTGATTAACATTTAAGACAGTAGGTTCTGAGTCAAACAGATTACCCTCTGTAACATGGGTGGACATCATCCAGTTGAAGACCCAGAGTTCAACCGAGTGGATGTCAAGATCTAACAGGCTGAGAACACCTGTGCCTCTGGAAGCTTGGCTCTCTGCTCAGAGCCTGGGACCCTTGCATTGCACCAAGCTTGTGGTGTGACTTAAGGAGCCAGGGACCAAAGAGAAAGTAGGTCAAGAGGGCTGCAGGACAGAGCCCCAGGAAGACAGCCCAAGGCCGGCGGGTGGGGGTCCATCCAGCCCAGAGGTGGAGAGCACACCTGTGCAGATTCCCCAGGGAGCCCGAGAAACCATCAGGCACAAATAACATTTCAGCAGCACACCTTGAGCTGCAAAAGTCAGTCTGCACAAAACGTCCAGGAGTACCTTAAGACAACTAGCAAGGAAGGCAAATTCAGGGCAAGAGTAGTAGAAGAGGACATAATAGAAACTCTGTCTGTAGTCCTTCCTGTCAGGATGGGTTTAGCCATAGTCTGGGGAGGAGGACTAAGTGCCCCCATTATTCAGCCAGTCCAGATCCATCTTACCTACAGTACAGGGAAGAGTTTTTACTAATAATTCTACTTGTTGCTTTTCAGACACCAAGTTAAGTCTCCTATACTGGAGGCAGAGTTGGGGATGTGGCTGCAGACAAGATGGTTATGTCCATCACCCTCCACCCGACCCCTGGCGGAAACAGCAGGCACAGTACCCCTGCAGGCTCAGCCTGGAAGGCTCCACCTCAGAACAGCAATCTTGGCGTTGCAACGACACAGAAAGGGGAGGGGGGTATAATTCAAGAAAACGACGCAGAATTGTAGATACTCATCTTTTCTAACCAGGCCTGGCAGCACAGTGGGAGAAAAAAGACCCAACAAGAGGCTCCACCAGGGTAAGTCACAACTCCACATAAAGCGGACCAACTGAAACTTCCAGAGAGAGAAAAGCAGGTCACTAACTAGTGAATCAGAACAGCGTACATCACAAGAACAAATCTGGGAGCAAAAGGAAAATATACATCAATGATTTACAGATGAGAGCAGGAAGCTATTTTCCTTCTGAATTCTGTATCTGGTGAGGGTAGGGAAAAAAAAGGCATTTTCAGACATGCGAGTTCCAGGAAGCTATGGGGGATGGGCTGCATGGCAAAGCGAGGAGGCAAAACCGGGCAACAGGGGCTGGAAATCTGGAGGAAATCAGAATGAGAGCAGAGATGACTGAGCCAGACCCAGGGCCGGAGGGCAGCCAGCCCAGGCGGAGCAGAAGGGCATGCTCCCTGGGACAGCATCTCCAAGGAACAAGTCACATCTGACAACTTCACCGCATGGGGAGGAGATGCACAGTTTCCTTTAGAGTTTAGGGAAGAATGAGTGACTGATGCTTAGAAAGCTAAGCAAACTAACAAGCAAGAAAACTATTAAATTCAGGAAAATCAAAAAGCTATAAAGAGTAAAATGTAATTATAGTCTATTACATGACTCAGCTCAAAACAGCACTTACACAGCCACACAAAATATGAACCCTGGGTATTGATTTAACCACAGCCATGAGTAATATGCTATCTGGCAGGCACACATGCATACACACTCACAAACATACTCACACAGAAGACTCAGACGGATTGAATATCCCTGGAAAGATACCCAAGAAATGGGTAACCTCAGCTCCCCACTGGGAAAGGGCTGGTGAGGGAGAATTTTTGAACAGTTGGAATATTTTACCACATGCATTCACTGCTTAAAAAAAGGTATAAAAATCCCATCAGAGTTTGGTCAAATACAAACATATGAATGAGAAAGAACCCCATACGACCCAGCCATAGCGTCTAGACAGGAACCACCTGGACAGAGCTGCAGGGCCAGCTGCAAAAGCCTGTCACCCCAGGGGGAACCTCGTTACACCAGGGCAGCCTGTCACCCTGGGGGAACCTGTCACACCAGAGGAACCTCATCACACCAGGGCAGTCTTGTCACACCAGGACAGCCTGTCACACCAGAGCAGCCTGCCATCACACCAGGGCAACCTCGGCTGGCTGGGTTAGCCGCAGGTGGTCCTGCAAGGACACAGTGCCTGCTGGTCCCTCAGACCTATCACAGCAAGGCTAGCCTGCTCAGAAATGGCTCTGAAGTTAGTAGGCTACACTCTAAAGCCTTCTTGAAATAAATTTTTAAAAAGGACAAAATTGTAAAATTCCACTTATCAAAAGGACATAATCAGAGACAGAAGGTGATGGTTGCACAATAGTGCAAACGCATTTAATGCCAACAACCTGGACACTCAGAAAGGGAGAAATGGTGTATTTTATGCTATGTTGTTTTATTACAATAAAAAAAAAGGAAAAGCGAACATTTTAGAAGAAATAAAAAACTCACTACTAAGCACCCTGTTTTTACGTGCCAGAGTTCAAAGGGCACTGAGATGAGACAGCAGGTGACCAAAGGGCAGGAATCTGGCATGAACTTTGGGCTGGAAGGAAATCTGAGTATGAAGCAAGTCCAAGTGCCAGGGGTCTGTGTGTGGCTAAGGATAGTTTTTTCTAGCTGATGGTGTGACTAAAGAAATTATGTTCTCATTTTCTGGATGTTTTTCTGATTTTCATGGATGATTACACTTTTGAGGTCACCAAGAAGCAGGAGGATGAGGACCAACACGGGCTCGGCACAGCTGCCTGCACAGCCCTGCGGACATGAGTTATCTCACATGGATGGGGGGTGGGCCTCACTGGGACAGGGTCTTGGGGACCCAAACTAGTCACTTAACATCTTTACTAAAACAGTGTACTAGGAAAGCAAAATCCTTCCAGCATTAGCTACTGGGAACCTTGCCAGTACCCAAAGAGCAGTGGGAATCCCTGGACTACACAGAAAACAAACATCGAAACTTTCCCTTTGCCACAAACCACCCAATAATGAAATCCAGAAGGCCTGCCAGCCTACAGGAGCGTCAGCTTTTGTTTTTGCTCTACAGCTGGTCTCCCCAACCTTCTGATGACTCATGCCTTCCTGGAATGCTTTACCTGATGAGGGAGCATCTTCACTAAGCCAGAGAGCTCTTCACAAGCCATAGCAGACTTGACAGCTAATTATATGTCACAAATTATATCCTCCTTAGGAGGCTGCAGGGAAAGGTCTTATCCCAGCAGTCCGGGGGCCTGCACAAATGGACGTGCTACAGTTTCGGGCTGCTATCAGGTGCAGATGACACAGGGTACGTACTGGTTGCAATGCCAAGGGGGAGACCCAGCCCAGTCACTTAAGTCCCACAGAGTAGGTGTTGTTCAAGCTCTGAGCGATTCAGGCTGAGCCCCCACACCACCACCAGGACTGGGCCGGGGCAGGGAGCAGTGGAGGCGATCGCGTGTCCATATTAGTCACCAAGCCCCCATCAGGAATACCCCAACCTGTTAGCAGGTGTGAGTTTCCTACACCCATCAGTGAAAGATGACTCAACTCCATCAATAATAACAATTACCCAAGTGCAATAGGAAACAAATATGAATTATTAATATGGAATGGGGTCAACTCAACTCAAGTGGGCATCTGGACTTGAAGTGCCCTGTCAGTTGCTTCATCCCTTGCATATATCTCCAGCCTTGGCATTTTGAAAATAATTGCACATTTTTACTTTATAATTTTATTTGCATTCCTCTAAAACTGCTTCTGTTTTACAATAGCAGATGACAGTGGCACAGAGCAGCCACTAAAATACTTTGAAGACTTTTAGTAGCATAGGGAAATGTTCACAATGTAACATTAGGTGATGAAACAAGATGTACAATCATCTATGTACTAAAATGCTAATTTTATCTCAAGAATATGAAATTTATATATGCTTGGAAAAGTTTTCTTGGGGTTATGGACCATAGTTTCCTTCCCCGTAATGGCTTGGTATTTTCCAGGTAGTTAACAAAATACATATATTACTATTAGAATCATTTAAAAATACACACACACAGAGGAGCTAAAATCAAATCATTTAAAAACTATTCAGGGACACTCACGCTTAATGCCAAATCTCCTTTAACACCCCCAGAAACATAGGATTTGTACTTAAATGCGTGTGAGCTCCTCCTATCGTTTCCACCCCAACCCCAGTGTCAATAAACTGAGGTTTGACTGAAGGATGTGTTGGCTTCTGACCCGAAGTGTCTGGGTCCTCTCACCTAATCAATCTTTCCAGGCCATATCTAAAACCGAGGGAAAACCACTGCCTTAACATACCAACATGACTTTAGCCCTTCTGCACTTGGCAGTCCACCTCCCTTCCTGTCCCTTCTTTCCACAATCACAAGCAGGAGGACATGGACTGGGGCTGTCCTCCTTGTTTCAATGTCCATGCATTTGTTCAGTTACTTGTTCATCCGACAAACAGCAGAGGCCTGCTAACCTTCACAAGTAAGTCTGGCTGTTTTCAGAATCAATGGGCATCTGCCTGTGTTGCAGTTTGGAAAAAAATCTCTACTTCTTGTGTCTAAAATGATGTTGCAAGTGAATGTTAAAGCCTTCCTCAGTGAAAATTACTTAACCACATTCTTTTCCTTCTTTGGAAGGAAGAGAGCAATGTGATGGCAGGAGGCCACAGGGTCGGGGGGTCAGAGGCCAGGGAAGGCATGACAGAGAGCAGAGCTCTGCTGCATTAAACATGCACACCTGAACAACACCCTCAACTGGGACAGGCCCTGTTTTAGGATCAAAGACCAGCTGCTTGACTGACCATTGTTTTAGAATGATGAGTCTGGCCATATAAGGGTGGGGTGGGCAAGTAGCAAGGGTCTGCATGATATGGAAGAGAAAATATGCAACCAGTGTCAAGCTCAGAAAGTTAAACAGGGCCCCACAACCCATTCCTCCTCTAGAGACTCACAATCATTTCATGTTTAAAGGACGCTGCTGATACAAACTGTAGGGCCTCAGTCTGGAGACCTCATGACTTTCAAACATCAAGTACATTCTGCCTTTATTATAGTAACAACTTAGAGAAAAATGGTTGTGTGACCCAACTCAAAATACCTTCTTGTTCTCTGTACAGGTCCTCTGACCCCTGCCTATGGACAGACATCTCTACTTTGCACATCTTCTTTAATAAATCTGGTCTATATAGGTATGATAATGGCAGTGCCAACAAAATTGCAGGCTAATGAATTCCTGATAAAATTGCATACACTGAGCGTCTAACAACTAGTTTTTAACTCTAGCATTCCTGAGAGCAGAGTGGATTTCCTCAGGCCCACGAGACGTGAGTGAAGGACACCACAGGTGTATGAACCTGGCTCCCTTTACCATCGACAGTTCATGCTCCAGTGAACCCCCCTCACCTCAGGGTCCTCATCTTTTAGACAGCAAACCTAGGGTCTTCAATATCCTTCCTTCTTGCCAGGAAATTATGCAAATGTTTATAATCTTGATTATGTCACTACAATTGACTTCACTGACTCACTCTACAGCCACTGGACATTTCTTTCATAAAGTTGGAGAATATTTAACAGTGGACTTGGTACTATCCCCAAATGCTACTCAGTTCAGCTGGGGGTCCATTATTTTCAAGAACTCTGATCACTAAATTTACTTGAAAGTTTAGTTTAGAGGTCAAATAGGGTATTTTTTCCTTTGGAATGAGTTCTAGAATTAAGCTGAATATATGTGGAAAAATATAAACTTTTTCCTAGTAACACATTGTCTAAGTTTAAAAACTCTTCAATTTGAGACCTCTGGACATGTTACAGACCCCTAGAGCTCACTGGGAGCTGCTAGTCATGTGGTCCAAACCTATGTCTTTGGCGAGAAGGCCAAGGAAGCTGGAGCAGCTCACCCACAGTCTCCTTTCTGTTTCTTTAAGCCTTTAAAGTGCTCCTTATTCATTATTAATGGTGATTTTACTTCTCCTACCAAAAGCCGTGTCTGTATAATGGTAAAATATCTTTGTTTTGTAGTCTATGCAGGAAAAGATAGTCAAATCTCCTAAGTGGGCTCAGCCACTGGCTGAGAATGTCAGCTGGAGGGACCCAGCCAGAGCTAACCCACCAGTGGAAAATGTGGAAGCTGTGTTCTTTACACTGACCACGCCAAAGCTTGGGGAAAAAAAGCCCCCCAAAGGGTACGCCTTATGAAAGTGTTGACAGGCTAAACTCTACTTGGAATTGTTATGCCTGTGGTAACTCCGAGGTGGTTTTCTGAAAAGGAAATAAAATGATTCACCAGAAGACCCAAGAGTCTGGGACTGCCCCCAGGGATCTGCTCAGAGAAAGTGAAAACTTACCGGATCAAAGAGAGCTCCTCTCCAGAGGGAATGAATCCCAGAGGAAAGGCGCTTCCTTCAGCTCAGTGTGGCTGACCTCATTTCCAGCTTTTAATGACCACAAAGCCACCTCAATCTAAAACTGTACATGCAAGGAGGTCCCGACACAAAAACCAACAAAGCCCTCCCGGCTAAAGGGTAGAGAATAAACACGGGGTGGGGAGAGGAGAAGCAGTTGGCTCACTGTCCACAGAATTCTGAAACATGATGTCCCAGTGCTTGGGACAACAGATTATTCCAGATAAACATCCTGGCTTGGCTTATCTGGTCACTCCCCTCACTCACTCAGCTTGCCCCTACCAAAACAAAGCGAAATGTTGAGATGGTGACCCATGTGGCTGAAGATTTGTCCCATTTCCCCAGACTTCATACTCTCCACTTTTTTCCTGCCCCAAAATACAAGAAGGCAAAATCAGTACCACAATCTGCAGCAGCTGGAGGTGCTGGGGAAGGGTAAAGGGGAGCCAGAATAAGGCAAATGAAAGGGATGGGAGGGCACTATTGTTTTAAAAGTTCCATGCCCACCAGGTGATTGAGACGTTTCCTCCTGTGTAAGAAACCCTTTCTTCCTCTCCCTGGGAGAGCCGAGTCCAGCAGGACTTGACATGATTTGTAGGTTAGATGGGAGGTGGACCCCCGGAACCCAGAGCATCCGACAACCAACAGTTCCAGTAGGGCCAAGTTCAATTTAAAAGAGACCAGCAAACACAGATTGCCACCTATTCATTTATCCTCTAAATGGAGTGTGGCTCCCAACACAGAAAACAAAAGACTGTTTTTTATTATTGATGAGACCCTGGCTTTCAAATCAGCAAAAGCATGACAACATTAAAACAGAAAGAAAGATGGAAGACATACCTGAAGGAAGCGATTATTAATGTAACTTCATCATCAGGATAATACTGCGTGATTGCATGATGTGCCCCAAGCAACTCCTTCCCATCTTTCCACCAAGAAATAGCGACAGTGTCCTGGTACATAGTGGGGATGCTGATCGAGCAGTTAAACTTGACATCTTTATGTTCTGAAAGTACTATGTGGCCAACTGTATGATTAAATGCAAGAGGCAGCAGGAGCTTTGACTTGGCAGAGGTCACTCTGGGAAGGGCTGCGTGTCCTGTGTGGTGTCTTCCAGGCTGGGCTGGTGGATACCCCAAGGCAGGCTGGTTCACGGGGGGGTGCGGAAAGAAAAATGGCATGTCGGCAGCTTGCAGGCTTCCTGGAGGAGGCAGGTTGCGCTTACTGTGTTCCTTCACCTCAGCGATAGCTGCAAAACAGAACGTCCATTTTCAGCCTTTTAAATAATGGAGTTTTCCAAGTAGGCCCCCAATTTATGGGGCCATCAGATGAGAAATGGGGCATCCCCAGTGTCCTCAGAAAACACAAGCAGAATTTTACACACATACATCCTTATGTACATTCTCATCCATAAGTTCATTCATTTCCTCACTTACCTCCTTTGAAAGAATGTTTTAAAAATATAATTCCCCCTGATCAAAGATTTTTTTTTGATTGTGATAAAATTGACATACAGCACTGTGATGAGTTTCAGGTGTACAACATAATGATTTGTATATATTATGAAATGATGACCACAGTAAGTCTAGCTAACATCTATCACCACACAGTCAGGATTACTTTTTTCTTGTGGTGAAACTAAAATCTACCCTCCAAGTAACTTTCAAAATATACATCATATCCCCAGGACTTTATAACTGCAAGTTTGGACCTTTTGACCCCCTCCACCCATTTTTTTAAAGCTGTGACTCATTACAAGCCCTTCCTACCTAACAGCATGGCAGAAGGCTGATGGCCCTTGAGATCATCTTTCTCAGTCTCCTCAGTCACATGTTATGCTACAGATGTGGATGATAATCTTGCAAAGGCTGTTACTGGTCTTAAAGAGACAAGTTTGCAATCCTTGTGCCTCAAGCTTCAGGGTACTCCCTGCAGGCTGGGATGAACCTGAAAATGTTCTGATTTCACCCACAAGTATTTCTAGAAATACTGACCCACAATGGTAGCATTTTTAGCTTTTATAGGCATTTTTGGCGCATACATTCTATGCTGCTTGCTATTTATTCTCAGCTGCGAGCAGATGAGACAGGCAGGTGGGAGAGATGCAGGCCTGGCATTTTGCAGGTTAGTGTCCAGAAATCCACAGAGCACCCCACCTGGCTGCAGGGCTGGTTCTCCTACCACACTCAGGATGCCACACCCTCCTGAGCTCCTGACCATGTGTAGGCGGGATGTAGGCTGGTCTCTGCATAGGGCTTTGCCTGATTTAGCAAATAAGAACATAAGACACCCAGTTAAAACTTGAATTTCAGCAAACAAATCATTTTTAGCCTAAGTATTCAGCTAACTACTTATTTGGCTAATGGAGCTAAAGCAGGAGATGTGGGTGCGGCATGGGGGATCTGAGAACTTATTCCTCTAGCTGCCTGCCAGCCAAGTCACTCTGGACTGCACATCTTACTCCATGGTAGTCACAGCTCCTGTCAGGGAGGCTCTGTACCTCTCTCTCTGATGCCAGGTAGATGCTTGTGGTTGATACATTTGGGAATTGCCTCCAGGGTGAATGCCAGGTTAGAGGACAAGCAATTTCACTTTGAGAAACCAGGGAAAACTCATGGCTTGTCCTTAGCCTGAGGCCTCAGTGACTGTAGAGTGCAGGGACCCTCTGCATGCTTTGGTGGGGGGTATGGGGGCATCCGTGGGCAAGCTGCGGGCTGGCCCTCAGCCCAGTCCTCCAGGCAGAGGGGTGTGCTGTGATGGACGCACTCATTTATTCCAGGGAGCAGAGGTCAGAGTGACTCTACAGAGGGGCCCATGCCTCTCCTGTCATCCCCACGCCAGACAAACCTAATGCATCAGGCTGGCCTGTGCCTTAGTAGAGGGAGGTGAAGCCCAGTGTCTGGGTCCTGGCCTGCTCCCCTATCATCCTTTGATTCAGGGGTACATTCTGCAGTTATGATAGTTCTGGCTGTTTATCTCATGCCTGCAGACCCTCTTCAAGGACACTCTTCCTCTAGGCTTTAAAGCACTTAAATTCACTTTTGCCTCTTAGATCAGCAAACTTACCCATAGTCTTTCCTATTCCCTGAGCTCCATGGGACTGGGAAGACAGGGGTTTTGTCCAGATAAGTTTGTTTTTCTTTAAGTATAAGGAAAAAAAGTAGAGTAGGAGAAGCAAATAATTCTTTGGCTTAATTTGCTTAAAAATATTTAAAACGTCTAATTAGAAAAGTAACCCAAGTTTGTTGTGAAAAATTCAAGTATTTGCATAGAAAGTATAAAGTGGAAATCTGTTCTATAATCCCAAACCTGCAAGATAACCTCTGGTAACCGCTTGGGGTGCTACCTTCGGTTTTCTCTGAGCCAAGCTGCTAACTGGACAAACTAATGGCAAGACCCCACTCAGCTGATGTCCTTGAAGTTGGGGAGGAACCAAACCCACCCCATAATCAATATGGATGGTTTAAAAAATAACTCATCTCCGCAATTTGAATTCCCAGGGGTTGGAAGACTGGTTCCATTTCCAACACACATTTATATAGCACCTCCTGGGTCTAAAATTGGCTGTGACAGTATAATGGGATACAGAAAGGTACCTGCCCTGGGACAGGAGCGGCAGAGGGTCTCAGGAATTTAAGGGGACACGGGACATAGCTAACAGCAGGCAGGGCAAGGAGGCCATCCCAACAGTGTCAGGGAGGCCTCTCCAGAGCCCTCCCACCCCTGGCTGGTCAGCCCTCAAGCTGAAGCGCTGTGGCCCCCTCCTGTTGTGACACCTTCTGTAATCACTCATTCAGTTCTTTCTCTGCCACTGGACTGCGAGCCCATGAGGCCTAGCACCCCCACTACAGCCAGTTCAAAGGAGATGCCCAAAATGGGTGTGCTGGATGAATAAGTAAGGGCATGAATTAGAGAAGGGCTGGGGAGGATGGACATGGTATCAAGGGGCAGAGGTGGTGGGAAATTGAAGTGAAAAGAGGCCCCAATAGGGTGGTACTCCTGGGCTGAGACAAAAAGGGGAGATAAACTGGATTCAGGCTCAGCCTGGAGAGCCCTGAACCCTGACTAAGGCAGCAACAATTCTCTCAAGGTTTCTGAGCAGGGGTGGGAGAAGACCAGAGCCGGGCCTGACCAGGGCACAGACATCTGAGAGTGAGGAAGAGGTGTAGGAAGGAGGGGGCCCAGAAGTGGGAAGCCTGCCAAGAGGAGATTGCAGATCTAATTATGAGAATGGCCAGGAAGTAGGAAGAATGCGGGAGACGGAAGAGGGGCTGACCATAAGGGCATTCTCACTATCGCCATCAAAAGGGCAGCCTGACTCAAATATTAGGAAGGTTGTAAACCTCAGACACAGGATCACTCTCAGGAGAGATGGGTTGACAGGTTTATACTCATTGCCTGAAGAACACAGGCCCCAAGGCTGCTTCGGGGTCCGTTTCCTCGTGGGACAATGAGGCTGGTGACAACAGCGCCAGAGGGCTGCTGGTAGGAGTAAAGGAGGTATTACTACGCCCCATAGTAACTATTAATTTTATTATTTTCCCCTTTGACTGTCAATCAGTAAACACCTGCCATTGGGCCAACACCTGAATTGCAGATGTCCAGGGGTTGATATGATCGCTGAATGGCTGCACATGGTCATGTGTGGGGCCTCTGAATGATCATGGATAATGTGAGAAGAGGCAAAATCAAAACCATTCCAAAGTTCTGAACCCAAGGGTCAGGGCAATGACCAATTAGAAGTTACACTAATTTTTCAGTGGCTTTGACTCCTTCAGTTGCACAAATGCCCCTCCTCCATTTACTCTTACAGAAGTGGAATACTTTTAAATTATTTTCAGGGGAGTGATGGTAGGAAGATGAGATCAGACCAAAAGGATCTGCTTATACAACAAGCCTTATAGTCCTCATTAACATGTCCCCGCTGGCCCATCCTCACGTGGTGGGCCTGGTAGGTGATGGCCATTTGGAAGTAATGGTCTGTCAGTGTGAGAAATTCATGAAAAGCACATTGACGAGAATTTGGCATTTTCTACACAGCACACAGGGAAAGTGGGCTGCCTCTGGCTGTGATTTGGGTGGAATGCACATGAAACTTCCCCTTTCCCTTGTTCCTAACTTCCTTCAAGGTTGTTTCCTTGCGTGGATTGGATAAGCAACTGCTATAGGAAGTTGAACCTTACAGGAATCAATGCTACTAAGCAACCTTGCACAGTGACCTCCAGCTCAGACAAGTACATGACTAGTTGTCCAGGTGTTCCAGCTGCCACACCTGCCAGCTCCAGGGGCCTCTCCCATCCAGTCCTGGCATTGCGTGAAGGAGCATCCCTGCCGTGTGCCCATGTGCTTCCAATGACCACTCAGCCCTTGACTGGATTCCAGTGTCAGCTTCTTTAAGACAGGGATTGTGTCTCCATCATCAACCTCCAGTGCCCAACACAGGGACGGGCCTGGGACATGATTAGCAAATGTCTGTTCATCTGACAAATAAATGGCTTAGGTGTACTGCCCATTGTTGCATGTGGGTTTGCCTTGTTTTTATGAACAAATTTGCCTGTAGCTTCCTCGAAGGCTGCCAGTGGAATCCTCTAACCCCAGCATGACCCATGGATGGACCTAATGTGCAGGGAACATGCACAGAATAAATGGGTGATGGGCAGGATTCCAAAGGGTGAGCAGGGAAGAGAGACAGTCCAGGCAGGGACACTGCTGTAGCTGGGATTGCTGGTATACCTCTGAAGCAGCGCCCCTACCCCAACCACACACAGTCACCTGGAGCCAAGTTGAGGAACCATATCAGACTCAAAACTGGTTGATTAGGGGGTGCTAATAAAGGGGCTATTTTCTGTGGGATCAACCTCTGCCCTTGAATCCTCGAGTGCCTGCTGAGTGTTTGCTGAGTATCCGTGGTGACAGGCAGGTTAGTGGGCCCTGCTGCTTGGTGACCAGCCAGCAGCTCTGCAGTTAGACATCCCAGGCCCACCGAGTCCATCACTGTCCAGGATGTGACCTCAGGATTGCTCTTTAACCTCTCTGATCCCTTGCAAGGATAGGAGTAGTACCTTGGCTGAGGGAGGTACTTGGATAGACAGAGTCTGCCCGCTCACTCCACAGATACGCGCTGATGTTATCTGAACCCAGGCTTCTTGTCACCTGGAGCAGGATTTCTGAGGCCCGGTGCTGGGATTACTCAGTGAGGTCTGTTTTGGACAATACATGGGGAATGGCAACACTGGAGCGCGAATGGCCACCTGTGGCCAGGATTCTCACCTGGCCCTGGTCGGCTAGCTCACTACACATGTGGGGGCAATGCATCGTTATTGACTTTATATAAAAGAGCCCTGCCCGGTGCTCTGGGTTTCATGGTGGCAGGGTTGCAAGGCTGTAGGAGAGCAGAATGGAGACTGGAGTGGTGGCAGCACCGAGGACAGAGGCCCAGAGGATGGCTGTGTGGGCAGAGAGGCCCAGAGGCAGAGACCGGCTTGCTGCATGCAGACTCGCTCTGAGTGAACAGGATTTTAGTGATTGACCTGCCACCATGAGAATAAAGTTGGATATAAAGCCTTTCACCCCAAGAACACTCTACTGTCATTTCTTTGGTCACACTGAATCCATAGCGAACTTGCCCGGGGCTGAAACCCATTGGCAAGACACCACCCATGAATGAGAGGAAAACATGCACTTTGGGCCTGTGATGGCAAGTCTCTGGGCTCTAAAGGATCTCTCTAGGACTGGCCTCCACAACCATTTCCTAACATGAGCTCCTTTCCATTTTCTTGAAGCCTCAGGATCACAGTCCAAGGTGGAGAGAGGAAGCAGCAGCTGCTGAAATTGCAGGTCCCAGGACAGTGGGTGGAGTAGCAGCCTTACATGGCCTCCCTGGCCCTGGAGTCCCTCCAAGCTATGGGAAAAGGGCCGGGCAGGGCAGCCACCGTGAAGCATGGAGAGTGCAAGTCAGTGAGTCCTGTCTAAATCACCCCTGCTCTAGGTGTTCTATGCCATCAGCCTGCTCTACAATCCTGGTACCTGGGAAAGGAGAGTGGAAGCACCTTGGCTGGAGTAGGGGAATAAGGGAGGGACTGAAGGGCCAGTCTTGGGATCCCCTGCTCCTGCTCCTAGTCTTTCCCAAACAACAAAAGGGACACAGAAGCATAGCCCAGCTCTCTAAAGTTCAGCCTCAAAATCAGGACATCCAGAGGAGGCTGCAAAAGTGAGGACTTATCCTTGAGCTCCTAGGGGTTCTTTGTTTCCCACCCATGGA